TGTAATTGATATCGGTGTTATTATCAGACGTTGGGACTGTGCTGTTGGTAGAGTCGGTGATATTGTTGGGTGATGATGGATGGACAGTTGCTGAGGAATTCTGCTGATCACTTGATGAGTTCGAGAGGGAATGCTGACGAGTTGAGTCGTTTTGCGGTGGGGTCTGGTGTTGGCTTGATACTGGTGGAGTTTGTATTGGTGCGGTTGTGGTTGGCCTATTCAACAGTGTAGTTTGATGCGACGGAGAGGGTGATGGGTTATTCTTTGTGGTATTATTGGAATGAGAGCTATTGAAGTGAAGCATTCGTGAGTGATCATCAGCTCGGAACTGATCCTGATCATCTGATCTGGACGGCAACAGATGATCGACTGGATTGTGATCATGATTGATCACGGATAGCGGTACGTGTGGGATTGATGAGGGCGGACAGGGGTGTAGGTCGTTTGGAAACGGCAACTGCACATTTAGTTCTTCGATCGATTCAACATCATTTTTGTGATCAGCATTATTACGATTATTATTATTATTATCATTATTATTATTACCATTAATATTACCATTACCATTGCTATTACTGTGATCATCAGATGATCCGATCGCAACCGAATGCGACAACAAGGATTGTTCCGTCTTTATCATTCGTAAAGTATTCAGTTCTTTATTCAACTCTTCCGATGGTACTCTACTGCTACTGCTACCCTGATGATGTTCTCCTTTTGAGAATACTTCTTTCTCATTGTTATGGTCACCACCACCAGTACAAGGATAAATATTTTTTGAATGAGAAGACACAATGTTCAAAACATTACCACCATCGTTGGCACTGTTCTCATTATCGTAATGTTCTTCACCAATATCCGGTAAAATCGCACTGCAGATGCAGAAATAAAACAGCTTCATTAATATCAACCATTTCGTTAGAGATATCTGATGGCGATTCATAATACACACGATATTTCAACTGGATTATCGGATAATGCTGCTGATATCTGTTACTTTGGTTGCAGACAGGTGAATGAACAGAGAGCTGGAGTAATAATTGGTAAAAAATAGTGGTTGTTTACCAGTAAAATGATATGATATGATAAGAATATCAGTAAATACGTAACTTGATGAGGGTGATTTGATGATGTGAGTTGAAACGGCGCAGCAAAGTGAATGCGATTAGTTGATGAATAAATAAAATAACGAATTGAATGAAAGTGTTCGCTGATAAGTTCGCTGTTATTGGATTTGA